GTTTATAAACTAAGACATTTATAAATGTATGAATCATATGGTGAAAAACTGACTTTGAAAAATAAATCTGTTCTTTTTTTCTTATAAAAGTCTAAATAAAATAAATATATTGGTGGTAATTTTTGACTGTGTAACTTTACAAACGGACCCCCATACTATGGGGGGTCTGCAGTTTGCACTGAGGCCACGTGCAGTTCTTTGGTTCCTCAGTGATTAACTTTGACCAAAGGTAACATGAAAATGAACAATGTTTATTTTTATAATCAAAATAAAAAATGCTTATTTTAATGGTTTATCTGTCCAATTTAATGCAAAGTGGAAATAAAACATTCATGACAGAAAGATACTAAAACTCAGGGCTGGTCCAAGGTTGTATGAGGTCATATGCATAATTTTATTTGTGTCACATTTTATTGAAGGWCATCACACACTCACTACAACACTTCCAGCATCCATCCATGCACAGTCTACTGCTCATCTGTGATTGGGTCACAGGACAGAAGGTCCACCAGGGGGACATTCGTCTTCTCAGCAACACTGTCCAACTCCTGGGAAGTCCAAGGAGCTCACATGTCAGAGAGGATACATAACAGCTTTAAGGAGTTCCCCCAGGGTCACATTCAAGTCCCACTCTTTTAACAACTTATTGTTCACGCTGCAGTTTCACCACTGCTACAAAACAAAAGAAACAACAGTTTGTCTCCATGTTTGTTCATCTAATGTTAGCAAGATATCTCAAGATCCACTAGAAAGACTCTGATTACTCAATTCAAGATGGCTACCAGAGCTAACTGACCTTAGCTAACACAAGGATGGGTGTGGCCATCCTCATTACATTTTCTGAGCACAACTCATGTAAACATTTGTTAAAACTTTGCTATTATTTTTAGAGTAAACACTTTGTTACAGTGTGCATGAATTCTGTCCTGCTCAAACACAAGGAGACAATAATAAATGAGCATTTATTAATGACTTTATAATTCTGATCACAGCTTATATGAGGATATATGAGGCGAGTTACTGCGGAGGAAAAACAAAAGTTTAGCTTAAACAGTATACTAAACAAGTCATTGAAATAACGCAGCCAATGAAAACATGACGAGCTTTTCTGATAACAACTATTAGAATAAAAACATTACTATTGAGGGAAAAAATGTAATAAAAGCTTAAATAAATTAAGTTCTCTGCCTTTATTAACGTAAAATAACTTCAAATAAATATTCACCCAAAAGGCCAAATTATTTTCTTCACTCTTATGTTCTTTTTGTTTTTTCTGTACATTTAAGAATTTATTTAAAAGTTATTTATTTGTTTTTAAAGCACTAAATGATTTTGTCCCATTCTACCTCACAGAGCTGCTGCTGCTTCTTCCTGCTGTTTACAAATCACTTATTCAAACCATCACTTCTGTGGCTTTTAGCACCGTCTGAGATGTTGAATGCTGTTTTTATTTAATTTAAATTAATTAATTGTCCATCACAGGGACACATAGAGACAAACAACCARTCACTCTGTCACTCACACCTAGGGACAGTTTAGAGTTAATTAACCTAACAGTCATGTTTTTGGTCTGTAGGAGGAAGCCAGAGTACCTGGAGAAAACCCACGCATGCACGGAGAGAACATGCAGACTCTACCCTGAAAGGTCTCCGGGCCGGGATTTGAACCGGTGACCTTCTTGCTGAGAGGCATCAGCTCTACTGAGCCACTGTGCTCTTTAATTTTCATTTAATCAGATTGGTTTTTATTTTTTTTTCTTTTAAATTCATGACAGTTTTAATTTAGTTAAGTTTTATGTCTGCTGTTGTTTAATTGATCCTATGGTTGATGGAAACACTATAAATACAYCTGGTAAATTATTAGGATGACTGTGAACATTTTTGTTATTTAATAGCTGAACACTTGTTCATTTTAAACAAACAGAACTAATTTGCATAAACCTTTATAATTTAGTATTTAAATGTGAGAAAGGAGCCTGATTTTATTTTCATAAACTTAAAATTTCTTTGTATTTTTGTAAAAAATAACAATAAATATTAATAACAATGTATAAACCTTTGCTACTACTGAACCTTTAGCCCTATTGAATGCACAGATTAAACTATTATCGTTTTTATTTTTTTAATTTAATTTTATTTCATTTTTATCTTTAATGTGTCAGTCACTTTAACCTTTTATCATATTTATATTATTTTCTTTACTTTGTATTCTAGTATGGCATTGGGCACCACAGTGATAGAACACCACAATTTGTTGCACTATTGTACGAAGTACGACTGTGCAATGACAATAACTCTTATCTTATCTTCTCTTATCTTATCTTATCTTATCTTATCTTATCTTATCTCATCTTATGTCATCTTATCTCATCTTATCTTACCTTATCCTATCCTATCCTATCTCATCTCATCTCATTTGGGGCGGCTGTGGTAGAGTGGTTAGGAGAATTGTCCCGGAACCGAAAGGTTGCCGGTTCGATCCCCGTCCAGTCGACTCACTCGTTGTGTCCTTGGGCAAGACACCTTACCCACCTTGCCTACTG